ATCCCTAGCAAGTATGTAAGGAAATACATACATGTCATTTAAATACATCTATGTCTCACTATGACATGCAACTAATTGGTAGTGACAGCTGAACAGAAGGGCCAAACCACCTTAGTGGAAGAAAGTTGAATTCTGTTCAAAACAGATGAGTGATTCTCAGCATATCATGCATGGTTCTTCTGGGATCCTAGAATTTATTAGAATGCCAACCACGTTCAATGTAAAAAAAGAAGCACTTGCTATCATGCTTAAACATTCTTATGCAAATCACCACAGTGAGGACTTAAAAGGCAGCCTGAATAGCCCTATGGATTGGCAACTTCAGAAATGTTCCCTCTGATGAAAATGTCAAGGATACAGATGTTGGACTCCAATGTCCATCAGCCTCAGCCAGCATAGCTAGAGATGAAGGAAGCTGCAGCCAGAGAACACCGAGAGGGCCACTGCTTCCCCACCTGTACTACATGCACAGTACACATGCAGTTCCTCTCTTACCGTGGCCACATCTGTGGCTTGCAACACAGAACATCAGGTTTGTTGACTTCGTAAACCTAGTGTAAAACTAATCCATGCTGTTCAGCATATGTTGCAACAGCTGATCTCTGAATAACTTTCCCATTACTTGCAGTATCTGTTGTTTACTCTTCTCACCTCCCACGGAGCCTTAAGCAAAATGATGGCAAGACATGTTGCTTTGGAACAAACAGTGAACAAGAATCTATTGCCATTTGTGATTGAAATACAGCAAGAGTATTAATGACAGGAAAAAGAAGAAATTATATCCACAGCAAAAATATCTGCGTTCAGCCAAAGAATATCAATTGCTTGGAATGAAATTATCAGTCTTGCTCCACTAAAAGCTCAGGTTTTTGAAGTGAGATAAGAGGACCATGGCATTTAAAGAGGAGGAGGATGTATGTGATCATTGAGTGCCAACCACAGGAGAGGGTCTCCATACCCTTTTCAGCAAGTATGACATGGAGTCAGTCGAGGAAGTGCATGACTAACAAGTCCATGGCTAGAAGGACTCAGCACAGGCACATAATGTCCAGCTATCCAGCTTCAAGAGCCACAGGCTGGCACAGTGCTTCTTACAGCTGCCCGTACCCTCACTGCAACCCAGCAAGAGCACAGGCTTTCTTGAACTTGTCTGCTGCTAAGAGGTAGTGACCACGTGCTTCCTTCTCCCCTTCACTGGATAATTATCTAGGATGCACCTGAAAGTAAGGCACATTCAATTATGTGGGCTGCACGCATGAATTAATCTGGACTGGTTTATACAGAAAGCAGGAGACATAGGGAAGAAAGCTATAGTAACACAGTATCGCTCTACTGCATATAAAATGGAAAGGTGTTTGCTCCTGAAGAACCCTTATTTGTAAAAGCATTTAATGAAACATAAATAACAAGCGGCTTTCAGTAGAAGCCTTATCCAATCTAATGTGTTAAAAATGTTTTGGACTACAACTCTCAGCACTCTTGACCACTGGTCATGCTAGTTGTCAATGTCTATCTTTGGTAAAACTGCACTTGGCAGATTGTGGTTGGTTCTGGTGGCTTTACCTGAAAAAGGACATTATTTAGTTCGAAAAAGTACAGAGAGGGCAACAAAAATGATCGGGGAGCTGGAGCAGCTTCCCTAGGTGGAGTGGCTACAATTAACTCCTGAGAGTTCCTAAGCTGGGACTCTTCAGCTTAGGAAAACAGGCAGATAAGAGAAGACATGATGGAGATGTTTACAATTGTGCAATGTGTGAAGAAAGCAGAGATGGAGAGACTTTTCTCCCTCTCCCATAACACTTGAACCAGTGTCATCCCATGAAGCTGACTGGTGGGAGGTTTAGATTGGATAAAAGGAAGTGCTTCTTCACATGGTGTGTACATAAACTATGGAATGTGACTTTTACAAGGATTGGGCAGATTCATAAGAAAGGAGGCTATCAGTGGCTACTACTAGCCACCTTAATAGCGATGTGCTCCCTCCTTTATCAGAGGAGGCATGTATGCATACACGAGCTGCTGAAGAGCTTGGGCAGGAGGAGGTCTTGCACCCATCCTGCCTGCAGGATCTTGTGGGCAGCTGGTGTGCCACCATGTGTATGAAATGCTAAACTAGATGCACCTTTCATCTGATCCAGCATGGGCTTTTCTTACATTCTTATGTTTCTATAGAGAAGGAGGGAGCAACTTGTGCTATCCAAGTTGAGAGACCTTTTGGCCTACAACTCCCATCAACCCTAGCTATTAGCATAGCCAATGGTAAGAAAGGATGGGAGCAGTAGGTAATAACGTCTGCAGGGCTGCAAGTTGCCCACTCCAATCTATAAAACCAGAAGATCCAAACAGGGATTCTGAATTAGCACAAACACTGTTCCTTAGCATAGGAATCCTGTTCTTCTGTTACCATCGTAGGCTAGTCTACCTTAAGTTACTTTCTAGTCCTGACTTCTGCAACCTAGAACTTTCCAGATGTTTTAGATGACCACTCCCACCATCCTTAGTCTTTCACATTTGGGGTAATGCCCATGGTACTAATAGTGTGTTCTGTATCAGCAGTACCACCATTTCTTAAAAGAGTATATTGCTTTGCTCCACCAAGAGTCAGTCCTTCCCTACCCCAGCTGGGTTCCAACAGCTTAAACAATGATGTTTGGCAAGCCCTGGATTGCTTCTTTTTATTTGTTGAATTAGATACTGTTACCCCAGACATTACTGAATCTCACTCCTTTAAAGATCACTATGTAAAGCTGGTGTATTATATAGTGTCAGAGCTGGCACCTCACCTTAGGGTAATTCTGGAGAGGACATGCAGAGGACAGGAGTGGTCTGTGTGTGACCTTAGGTGAGCGGTTGGGGGCTGCATCCCGCTCCCCATAGACATCCCGCTCCAGATGACTGGCAGGAGGGAAAGGCTTCAACCGCACTCTTCTTCCAGCAATCTTCATCCAAACCACTGGGATGGGGACAAGGGTAACGATGCCCCCATCGCAATGCTCCTGCTAAAGTTCACCAGGTCTTGGGGAGGCTTTCAACTAACCTAGCTAGGAGAAACGGAGCTTGGGGATGATAGATACCTTGGACTTCCCCATAAATACCTTGGGCTTCCAAAGCCGTACACACTACAATTTAACCAACAGATTGTCACAGAATGCTCTGTGCAAGTAGGCCCATCTGCTAAATGGACACATTTCAAACCAAATGAGTTGCAGTTTTTTTGTGGGAGACGGGTATCTAAAGCTTTAGTGAATCAGCTTGGCTTGGCTTGTGCTGGAAAGACTGCAATGCTGTACAATCTGGAGCCATAAAATAGCTGATGCCTGCCACAACATTTCATTGCTTTCACGTTCATTTAGGCACGTCTGTCCCTGAAGCACAGCACACTGCAACAGATTTCATCACCATTAGAACTGCCATATAATGATGTCAGAATGCAACACCATTTTCCACATTAACAAAACCCAGCAACTCTGTAATTCAGTGTCAAAGAGCATAAACCAGAGATCAGCATTTCTTAGATGACAAATGTATTCTACTGAAGCACATTCCTGAGTACCATGGAAGCCCTCCTACTCTTTTAGCATCAGTTGATACTAGAATCAAGCATCATATGAAAAAATATGCAACATCCATCATATGACTGGTGAGTATATCAGCACTTCCACTGCACCCATGTCTTCAGCCCATCCCTCTAATTTTTCTGATATTTACAACCCACTCACCATTACCAACCGTTATTAGGAAAACAGAGTTAAAAGATCTCTGGCCATTTGAAAAAAGAGACATTTGCTTGCAATGTCCCCTCAGTATCAGCATATAAAATGCAGCTATCTTAAAGAGTATGTTCCTCACCTTACTTTCACAATTTCTGTCACTTTTTTTCTTGGTACAGGTGACCTGCATTTAAACAACTTGATTATACACCATCCATCTGCAGACTGCATACATATTAAGAGGCACTTAGACGCTTAAATCTTTCTCTCTATATAAGCATTCCACATCCTGGGCCCTCCAGATGTGTTGGAATGACAATTCCCATTATCCACATATATAACTGTGCAGAGGGTGGGATTCAAAGCGATGAGGTTGTATGGCTCACAACCATGCAGCAAATTTCTCTGGCTGTCACTCCTCCACAGTTCTTATGAGGCTGCATTTTCTCTATGCCCAAGTATGAATGCGCATCGTACCCCAGCATGGGCCAACCACACCCAGTAGGCTGCTGTCTGGCGCACCAGGAATCAAGAAGTGACTGGATGCTACCCTGGAAATCTTCGAGGGGGCACAAAGGGGGGACCCCCACACACACCAGAAACTTTGCACATAAGGATCGGGTTGGGGTTGTACCCCATGATTCCCCAGGGCCCCTACTCCTATCTCTTGTCTTTGATCTACTAGTTAATGGAGTACAAGAAAGGGGTGCAAAGGAAATAATCCTTGAGAAGGGAGCATGAGCCCTCCCCATAATCAGTAAACTTCAAGGTGGGTGCAGCAACATTTCTGCTAAGACAGAAAGATACCTGGCCTTTTGCATCAGCCTTGAAAAATGGAACTGAAGCACACTTCTTAAACGCTATGAAAACGGAGGAGACACGGAGGAGACCTGCTGTGGGCGCCCCCTCAGTATAACTCCAGAGATGGAAAGGCATCTAGTTGGCGTGGTCATGACAGGCACAATTTTAATTAAACACAGGCCAAGTTGCAGTTAGATAGAAATAACTGGCCACTGTGCAATTAAGTTTGAGGCTGTCAGCAATTCTGGATTCTGCCCCTCTCCCCATATTTACAGAACTGTACAGAAAAGCCCCTGCGCTGCTCCAAGTCTGATTTCAAGGGGAGTGTAGGAGACTTTTCCCCCAGATCTGAAGCAGCTTCCCAACCCTTTCAGCGCCAGCTGCTGCTACTCTCTCATGATCTCTGGAGCAGTTCCTGCTCCTGGCTACCTCATTTGGCTTCCTGAGAATGCGGAGCCCTTTCCCCTTTCCTGGCCGCTTCTCTGTCACCGATCCTGGGAAAAAGCTGCATTGCCAGCCGAGGCACCGTCCGGCCCAGCGCCCCGCCCAGCCGCAGCGCACTTGCCGCGCCGCGGAGGTCCCCCGCCCCGCCGGAGACGCGCCGCGGGGAAGGGGCGCCTCCGTCCTCCGCATTGTTTTTCCACCTGGATCCTATCGCCCGCCGGCTCCCCACCCGGCGCTCTAGCGCAGCCAGCGGCCCCTCCTCTCCCGAAAGCATGATCGCGGGACAGCTTGGCAGGGCCGAACTTGCGGAGCTCCTCCAGCGGCTTTGGGGCGCAAAGCAAGCCCGCAAAGTAAAGGAGTGGCAGGAAGGCCATCCCTCAAGCCCTACGGTGCCGGCAGCCCAGGAAGCGCTGCACAGACGCAGAGCCTGCCGCGCTGATCGTGGACAGGACACGTTTCGCAAAGCAAGGAAAGCCGCTTTCCGGAGCCCTGCAACAGTCTCGCGTGGAAATAAAAAAACTGCTGGTGAAAACGCGCCACGCCTGCTGGTGAGTGGGTGCGTACTCGGCCTCTGCAGTGGCTCGCTGTGTCCATAACTAGACCCTCGCAGGGATCAGTTCACGCACAGGGAGGGCCCTGTCTTGCAGATGCTTAGGAACCTTAAAAAAGCACCCCCGCACACGGACCAATGGCGGACTCCTATCGCCCTACAGACAGCGCTCCACGTGCACGTGCCTGCCCGAGCGCGGACGCGGCGCGGCTCCGTGCAGGTCGCCTGTGCGTCACGTGGCGCCGTCTTCCCGTGCACAATGCTGCTTGCCCTGTTCCCGTCCGCGTCCAGGGCGCAGCGCAGTCGTGCCTATTAGGGTCCACGGTGCAGGAGCGCCTACAGCGCACATGCTCTCCTGGGTGGGAGGTGCAGCAACTGGACTTCCCTTGCTGCAGTATACACTGTGTGGAGCTTCCTTTCCCCCCTCCCCTTTCTCACGAAAACTGCGGCACAGCAGCGACTGGCTGCTTCTCGCCGGAGGCGGCCGCGGACGAGCGCTGCCCGCCAGACAGGGTCCTGCCCACTCTCGCTTCCCTCCCCCGTCACAGAGGCGAGCCGGAGACCCGCAGCTCGCCGCCTGCCGGGGCTCCTGTTCTGTATCGCCTATGAGTCTTTAAGGGCGGGCTGCGGTGTTCTTGCACGCAAGGTCCCCGCCAACCAAGGCAGCCACCTCCGCGCCCTCCCCGGCTCTTTCAAGCACAGTTACCTGCCGCGACGCCTTCGGTCCCCGCCATGCCTGGGGGCGTTCACTGCACCTTCGGCTCTGCCCGTCGCTGCGCCAGGCGGGATCGGCCGGGGAGGGACCGACGAGGGCGCTTCTCAGGCGGCAGCCTGGGCCATTTGGCGTGCGGAGCTTCTGCTGCAGTCGCTTCGCCCTCCGGTCTGCGGAGCAGAAACCCGGCCAAGGCTCGCCTCCTTCCCTCCGCCTTCCCCACCCGCGACTGGGCTGTGCAGGCAGCCAGGGGAAGGCTTAGCGATGACCCCGGTGTCCACAAGCCTTTCTTCCCTGCTGCAAGGCTCTGGATGCTCAAATTTCTGCAGCGCCCCTCCCCTTTGAAGTGAGCCGCCGGCCTCCTACCCCCACCCCTTTCTACGCACTAGCGCGGGAGGGAGGCGAGGATGCAATTGACAAAGAAGCTTTTACAACGAGACCTCCAAGGAGCAGTCTTGGGATTGCCCAAACCAGAATGCCTTATTTTAAAAAGACTCGTTCCAAAGATTATTCCATAAAGGGTTTGGTCTATGGGTGTGTTGGTTTGAAGGGTGATTATTCGTTTCTTTGCTTTAAGCACAGATACTTTGAATATAAGCCCAGGTCTGCGCTTGATCTAATGAAGACATCAAAGCCTCAAGCCACAAATGAATCAGCTGGTGTTAAGGGCCTTCTCCTGCCATCCTAGAAAACGCTGCCCAGGATACTTACCCACTGCAGACGGCACAGAGCCTGCAGTGACAGACGTGTGGCGTCCCATCTGCAAGCAGGGATGAGAGGGACAGAGGTCTGGGGGTGGGGAGACTCCACGGTTCGCTGCCATTGCATTGAGACAGGCTCCAAGTGCCCTCCTATGCAGTTATAATAAGAACAGAGAAGAGTGCGTAGTGATTAAGAACAAGCAAGCAAAGTACACACGGTGGTGACAGGTGCTGTTCAGAGTGTTCTGCTTTTAATTATGCCACAGAGACTTGGATGCAGAGCCAGCACCATGGACCAGCAATGGACACACACTGAAGTGCGAGGTAAAAACAGGTGACTGAGTGGTCTAAGGACCAATATTCATCCATCCATCCATTAGATTTGTATGCTGCCCAAAAGCCAAAGCTCTGTGGGCAGTTCACAACAATTTAAAACTATTTAAAAACATGAAATACAGCATAAGGAACAGTATCTAAAATTTTAAATGGTTAAAACTATAGTATGGAATAGAAAAATATTTAATTATTTCTATACTGGCCTACAGCTGGAGCTGAGGAAGGGAGTATTGAATAAGTGGTGAGTCTTGGGGAGTAGGAGACCCCCTGTATTATTATTATTTTTTGTTAGAAATAAAAACTGGAGTAGGTCCTAGCAACAATACCACAGTTTCAAACACATTGAAGGATTTCAAACAGAATAAAACTAAAATTCCTGGGAAAATGAGAAGACCTTCACCTGCTCTCAGAAAGATTATGTTGGAGGTGCAGGAGAGCATTCTGGGAAGTTCACCCCATAGTGGGTGCCACAACAGAAAAGTCTTTGTTCTTAGTAGCCCCCTACCTGACCTCTGATGGCAGGGGCTCCTGCAGAAGGACTGCTGACGCAGATTGTAGGGTAGGGGCAGCTAGGTATGGGAGGAGATGCTCCATCAGCTAACCTGGCCCCAAGGACTCTGAATGCCTAATACCTGCATTTTGAATCAGGATTGGACATGGACTGGCAGCCAGTGCAACTGGTAAATTGCTGCCCTAATATGATCATGCTACAACAAAAGAAGTTCTGAGGAAAAAATGTGGATTCTATACACAATGTAGTCCCTGTTCCTGGATGAAGGAGTCTTAGCCCTCCCTTCTTGCTAGCCAACTAGCAGAGCTCCTAGAGTAGCATCCCACCAAGAAACTAAGAAAGTGTGTGCGTGAGGGAAGACTTCCTTCTGAGTTATGATGGTTATGTAGGTAAAATGTGGCTGCTGAGAACAAGGAGGAAGAATCAGTATGATCAGAAGAACCACAAGGTTTGCAAAAATAAAGGGCAGGGGGAACCAATGGGCACATCCCAGAAGAAATCCCCTGAAAGATCAAGCATGGTCAGCAGCTTCATTGACAGCAAAGCAAGGGAAATCAGTGTTCTCTGTTTTGACTATCAAAGTCCCAAACAGAGTATGTGAAGAATGCAGTCTCCCATGGGAACTTGGGCAGCATTTGAGGTGGCTGGTAAAGATCCTCCTTTGAATGTTCTGACCTCTGGTGGTGACACATCATTCCAGATAGAGGAAACTTTTAATGGTTGTGCCCTGACTCTGGAATTTTCTCCTTTGGGTATTCATGAGATGCCAGGCAAAATTTGCTTAGGCTTTTAGCCTTTAATTGTGGAGGCTTAATTACATTTGTTAAATTTTGTTTATTTCCTAATGTTTGCCTAGCTGATTTGAGCTGCAAACGGTGATTGGCTGCAGAATTGCTACACTGTGAGAATACATGTGATATGGTGGTTAGAGTGTTGGACCAGTGAGCTGGAAGATCCATTTCCTTGTCTCTGCTTGGCCATGAAGCTTACTGGGTAATTCGCAGCCTATCCTACCTCACAGTGTTGTTGTGAAGATAAAGTGGGGCTAAGTGAGCTGCCTTAGGTTCCTCACAAGAGGAAAAAGGGGTTGGCTGCGACTGCAATGTAATGATATCGGCTTATCTATTTTTATACAATTTAGTGGTCTTTAATTCAGTTTGCTATTTTTCTGGAAATTGTTTGAATTGCATGCCTTTGAACAGAAAGCAGGGAAAGGGATATAGAAATCAGCAGATTGCATAAAATCTGCTCAATATTTATTTCTAAGATGATGGCTCACATTTTTATTGAATTTGAACAGCACAAAAGATTGTCCATACCAACAGCCTGGTTACCTGGTCATGAACTGGCCTTAGGGCTTTACATTCCCTAATTAATGGAGTCATTAGACTGCCAGCAGTGGTTGAGATTCTTGCCAGTGATACCACAGAGGCTGTGAAACATGTAGCTAATGAGATCTCTCAAAGTAGGAAGGCCATCCTTCAAAATCACTTGGGACTCAATTATGTCTTAGCCTCTGAAGGAGGACTCTGCAGAGTCTTTAACTGGCCAGATTGTCTGAAAATTGATGATAATGGGAAATTAGCCACCCATGCTGAGCATGTAGCTTATGCCATAAATAAAGTTCATTCTTCTCATCACCTGATGCATTTTGAACTGGGGTATAGCACATAAAGTCACAAAAAGTCCAGATTTGGACAACTGATAGATTGATACATAGGCAGATCTGTGTTAGTACTTCTGCTACTCCCTATATGAGGTAAGAATTTTGCTGGAAGGTCCTGTTTGCTCCAGAACTGTAGGGAAACTTATCCTGTACAAAAAGGTAAAACACAGCATGCACAAGATCTATGTTTATATTGTACTCCTGGTTGCATGGCATCATACTTGCATTTCTCTGCCATGCGGATGGCCGAGGGGCCCAAGATGGCTCAGGGCCCTTCTGGAATGCAAGAGATCTGATGTGCTGCATAAGCACTGCATTGGTGAACCCTTATGCTTATTTTGTGATCAGTGCTGTCTACCTGCTTGGCTTAGCATGTGCCTTGGATGTGGTTTTAGGAGAGGAAGGAGTTTCTTCTAGTCAGACTGAACATGCATTGAATGAACCCTATGTCCACTTTTTACACATGTCTGTAAGTATGCAGTAAAGCTTGTCCACAAATAGCAAGTGGCTAGTTGTGGGGAGTAGAAGCCCCCCTGCGTGTTTGCTGAGCTCCAACCATGCTGTGACTGGGGGCCAAAGCCAGTTTTTCAGTGTACAAACAGTCAGAGGGTTGTAAAAAGCTTTAGTAGAACTCTAGTGTTTCATTTTTACACAACAAAAGGAAAATAGTTACATTCAATGTTGTGTGATGTTATGTCCTTTTACTGGCAAGTACGAAAGAACAATCAGTGTTACTAGAGTCTAGAAAGCCAAATTGTTCAGAAACTGGATGCTTTGCCCTTTCACTTCCTTTATATA